TCGATGTCCTCCAAGTATGCATTTACATATTATTATGTCTGATTTAATGTGACTTTGTTTTCAACGTGTGCTTAATGTTTGTAATTATTTTCAGATTGTATTATCTATAGCTGTAAATTAAACATTTAAAACTACAGCTAACATGAGTTTCTGTAATTTGTTGAGGGTTCCACCCATATTTATTATGGACGAACTCTTCAAAAGTAGTTTCGGGTTTCCGGACATGGCTGATATTATATTTCCAGTAAACAATACCTTTGTAAATAGCACCCTCAGTCAAATTGAGATCGGAGAGTCTGCACAATATTACCAGGCCATATTTTTATCCTTCATAAAAATAATATTATCTTGTTTAAGTAAGTTAAATAAACTACCAAAAGACAATAATAATACAAAGGTATCAGTTGATTTAATTTAATTTTTTATGTTTTTAGTATTTTGTTCCTCGTTATGTTTGTTTGTTCTACCTGCCAGATACTTATATCTAGTATACTTTCACGTAGTTTCTATTTGTATTGTACTCCTTTCTTATTGGTCAAACATACAAACGTTCAAAACTTTGTCAAGCAAATATGAAAACTTTAAAGCTGACACGATAACTGAAGTTATAACATGGGATGTGGACGGATTTTTAAATCTTTTTACACAATTCCAAATCATAAATTTTTTTTACATGTTAATTCGCAATTTAATTCTACAATATTGTCTATCATTAGTATTTGATTTTTTACAAGTTTTTGCTACAAATAATGTAATCAATAAGGTAAATACCTATACATTTTAATTAACTTTCATCCTGGATAAAAAATAATGTGTTTAATATTTTAGGTCTTCAGCTTTAGCTTTATTATTCCTACATTAATCTCATTAATACCTGGTACGCATGAAATTTTGAATACAGTAACAGTATTATCAACATTGTTGCCATTGTTTATTATGCTGAAAACATTATGGTTAAATATATTTACAATAACAAATTTAATTTGTAATGGATATATTTATGCACGAGAGATCATTAAGTAAGGCCATTTTGTACATTATTATTACTTTTATTAATTTTTGTATTATGATATTATTATTTATACTCACCAACTAATAAGTATAATTTTAATATTTTATTTATAATATGAATACATTGTGTATTTTATCCTAGTAATTTTGGAATATCTGCCATGATTGAAGCGGAATGGAGTCGACTCAATATCCCTAGTGTTCTACGAATATTTTGGGCTATACGAGTACTAGAACAAATTTTATACCTATTAACTGATATGGAAACAAAAAATGAAACTTTATTTGAAGCCGTGAAATATTTGTTAATTAAAGGATGCGACACATTTACAGCAGTTTTAGGAATGACAAGTTTTGTATCATACTTTTGCCATTATATAGGAGTATTCTTTCAATGGGTAAGATACTGAATTTGGATTTATATTTTTAGATGTTTTTAAACAGTTTGTTTTATTTAGGTGCTGTTAACTGAAGAAACGGATGATAAAAGCATTGGAACAATTTCTGCGGTATTATTTTATATACTAGCTTTACAAACTGGACTAACAGGCTTAGATCCAGAAAAACGCTTTACAAGACTCTATCGTAATGTTTGTTTACTTTGCGCTGCTCTTCTGCATTACATCCATAATGTGGTCAATCCGTTATTAATGTCTTTGAGCGCTTCTCACAATCCTTCACTTAATAGGTATTGTATTAATCATCATTATGAATGTTTTAAAATTAATTTAATTCAATTTTTTAGACATTTAAGAGCTCTTTTAGTTTGTGGATTTCTTATAGTGTTTCCAATCACTATGTTAACTTATTTGTGGTCTCACCATTCAGTTAGCACTTGGCTACTAGCAGTTTCTTCTTTTAATATTGAAATTATTATAAAAGTATTGGTATCATTAGCTGTCTATTCATTATTTTTAATTGATGCCTATCGCACTACATTCTGGGAGAAATTAGATGATTATGTGTATTATATCAAATCATTTGGCAATACGGTAATTTTAAAAATCCTTTGTTTTACTTTATTTCATATTTATTTAATAATAATATTATAGACACATTTTTTATTCTAGGTGGAATTTTGTTTTGGCATCTTTCTTTTTTTAAATGGTGTTTACATTATGGTTTTTGTTTCTGGCGGTGCAGTACGTGCATGTATGATGTGTATACATGCATATTTCAACATATGGTGTGACGCTAGGGATGGATGGAGAGTATTCATTAAACGTCGTACAGCTGTGAAAAAAATTGAATCATTACCAGAAGCAACTAGTGTTCAATTATCTAAATTAGATGATGTCTGTGCGATATGTTATCAAAATATGGGATCAGCAAAAATTACTAAATGCAATCATTATTTCCATGGTGTATGTTTGCGTAAATGGCTCTATGTACAGGTAAATAGTTATTTATAATTTTTTTATAAAAACTAATTCTATAAAATAAATCATCTCAGATTATTTCTATTTAAATTTGACAAATACTGAAACACTATAAAAAAAAAAACAAGTATTATTACTTATATTAGAACACAGAAACTTTATGGCATTGTTCAATAAATTTATATAAGGTGATTCTTTTATCAAACAATACTTATTTTATCAAAATTTAATAACATTTTTGAAAATATTTTTCTTTACATTATTTTCAGTTGAAATTAAATATAGAATAATAGAATATTTCAATACATTAAAATCAAAATTTGAACATGTACTATATAGTATATGAGTTATAACTTATAAGTTAAAGTCAAGTTAAACAAAGAAGAAGTGATGTGAGGATATCTTGCAAAATGTTGTTCTACTTCTCCACCAATCTAAATTTTAAATATTCATATTTTACTTCAGAATATGAAATAAAAAATATGTGTTGCCAATCAAAAAAGTAAAAAAAAATAAAAAATGTGGTTAGTTTTGTATGAAAATTATCTAAAAAAAAATCTTCAAAAATCTTAGTAGATTTTGAAATAATGAGTGTTGTTTCATAAAAGAATCACCTAGTTTAAGAATTTAAAAAGTATTTGATTTTTTTTTACTCAAGTACTTCATTAGACACTCTCATACAAAAGTCTAGTCTATCAATTACAATTTTATTTTATAAATAAAAAGTTGTACACATAAATTTATCTTATTTTTATGTAATTTTAAATTATTTTATGGCTTAGGATCGATGTCCATTGTGTCACGATATTCTATATAAAGCAGAAACATCAAAAGTTCAGGCACAAGGCACAAACCATTATCAAGATCTTCAAAATGTTATTGATGCTGATAATTCATAGTTATTTTTTGTTGATTAAATTTTACTTTAAACTTTTATTCAATACATATTGACAACTACAATAATAATTAAAATATTTGATTATAAAAGTTTTAATTTTATACTTGCACAAGTTTACTGTACTATTATGCGGTTCTAAGTTCTATGTGGTTATTAATAATAGATAATTTGATTAATATTCAACCTTTTAGAGATTTAGTACAAAATGAGGGTTAAGTGTTTTAAGATTACTCAATAGTTTGATATGTTATACAAATGGTATGTTTTCTGTATATTTGTAAATTGTATACTTCACTTGTTTAATGTAAAGCTTGCTTATTAACTGTATTGATTTATATATTATAATTATTTTTAAAACATCACATATACATGTTTCATAGTTAGTAAGTATTTTTGATATTCAATATATTACATATTATAAAATAATCTAACCTGTTAAGTAGTTAAACTTGAAATATTAATATTTTGTTTACATCTGTTAAATTATTATTTTTGTATCTTAAATTTTAAAGTATATATTTAAAATTATAATATTATCTATTAAAATATTTAACAAACGGTTCACAAAGTATAATAATGTTTCATTAAATTGTAGTTCCAATTTATAATTTTTGACAATTTTACAGTTTGATTGTTTAAAATAAAGCAATATTAGAATAACATGGTGGTGTCGGATGAGAAAATATGGTTTTTAATAAGTTAATAGTATATTTGTAATAATATATTTTAGTAAAGTGACAAAATATTTCTTTTTTTGTACATATTTTTTTTTTTTTTTTTTATCAAAAATTGAATTTTATAAGTTTTTTTTTATTATTATTAATTTGTACTTAATTATATTGGTACTTAAATAATACAAGTAAAAATTTTGTTAATATTTATCTTATTTAAAATTTTTACTCATTTTACCATTTATTAATTAGTGTTGTGACTAAAGTAAAAATTAACAAATGAGGAAAAAAATTTGTTTAAGGTATATTAAACCGAAATTGTTGTTTAATATTATCTCTATAAATCAGACTGTAATATTTTTGTGATAACTAATTTTGTAATCAATGATGAATCAATATTGAAATCTATTTATGCTTATGTATATTGTATAAGACGTTTATAAGTTATTAGGTTGTACAAAAATCAATGTTTCCTATTTTTTTTTTTTTTTTTTTTTTTTATAGAAAAAAACTATATGAAAACCAACAATGTAATCACTAAAGGTATTTTACATCCTATAAAATGTATGTTGTTATGCTGTTACCTACGTATTATTTTAATACTTGTACAACATTTTAAGCCCGATCACATATATTAATTCTAATAGTAACACAATTGCTTGTTAACTGTACATTGTTTTTTCTCTCGTTAATATATTATGTGCTTTTAATTGTTTAACAAAATTTAACACAATTTTTTAAACACAATAAATAGTTTATTTTATATACAGCTTGAGTTATTGCTAATAATATTTTGGCATTTCAAAATGAAAGTGAAAATATTACAACTTTTTTTTATGTTAGGCAAATGTTTAACATGCAAAATATTATTATACTTTAAATCCTTATTTAATTATCTATATTAATATAACACAATAATTATTGAACTTAGTCTAATAGTTCCATTTTAGAAACTTAAATTGAGAAATTACATAATATATGTTAAATTATTGAATTTATGTTAAGACATAAAAATTTAATATTTCTTGTCATTATATTTATACTGTTATTTATCTTACTAAATATTTTAAACCTTAACAATTGTTAAAAACATCAAGTATTTAAATTTTTTCAACAGAGTTTTTTTCCCATTCTATAAGACCTTCATCATCCTCTTCTGAGACTTCAATTTGTAATTCTAAATTCTCTTGACTGTCCACAAAACAAGTGTCACTGTAGTACTTGACATTACGCACAGTGTGAATGAAATTTTCCATATCCAGTTCGCTCATAAAATCATCAGGTATAGCATTCATGATTGATTGAGCTTCGGCTGTATTGTGTCTAGTCATACCCATGTTTTCAATAACAAATTGATAACAGTTTGGTAAGGTTTGGTTTTGACTACCATATTCTTTTAAGTGTTCTTGCCAATCCAACATATTAATTCCAGCCCACCATAAGCCAATGTCGCCATCTACAAACTCAAATGGATTGTTACAATTCACTTCTTCATCCTCAGACAAACTTTCTTTTATTAAACAGCCAATAAGCCAAAATCCTTGAACCATGAGCCGTCTAATTTTTTCATCAAATCTGGGCATGCAATCTTTTGTGACAAAATGTTCAGACAATGATGGTTTAATTTCATAACCTTTAGCCTCACTAATTAGTGCCAAAAGAATCATGAAACGAGGTGTAGTTAAATGTTTAGGTCTCGGTTGAAGACTGAGTGTTATGTTGGCTTTATTGTGAGGTTGATGTTTACCTTCGATAGATTTCCAAAACCAGGTAGTTTCATTCGTTGTAGTTGATTCATTGGAGCCAATGATTGACGTTAAAAACTCTTTGTTCAAATTACTTGCTTGGAAAACTTCATAGATACTAAGGTTTTCTGTAGATGGCGTTAAGTCATCATCAGTAGTACGGACAGATATGTCTAACCATGATAGAGATGATGAAGTAGATAATTTGACTGAATCTGATGAAAATAATCCATTTGGATAAAATGAACAATCCTTCATCATCTTGATATAACGACAAAATTCATTTCCATCAAAATCTTCAGGATTGTAATTAATTTCATTATTTGAATCTAAAAAGTAAGCAATAAAGCAACATAAATCAAAAATCATAAATAATTATATAAAAAGCTAAAAATTAATATTTACCAGATTGAGATTCTGTTCTGTTACTATAATTTCTTTTTTTTTGTTTTTTGTTTCTTCTTTTTTTACCAGATAAATCTTTTGGCTTTAGTTCTGGAAATTCTTTTTCTGTCACTTCAACAAATACTGAACGTTCCTCATCATCATACTCCAAACAATCATCAACAATTTCAAAATCAAAATCGAAATAATATTCTCCATCTTTAGATGATCCTGAAACGGCTTCAGAATAAGATTTACGACTAAGAAGACTTCCATCATCTGTACTAATAGATGATGAACCTTCAGATCGTTTGATCGATTTTGGCATAAACTGATGAATAAAATTTTCAGTACTATCAACACTATCAAAATTATTAATTGATAAATTGTCTGTGAATATAAATACATCATCAACACAGTCATTTTGCTCTACATCACAGTTTTCATTTTCAACTACTTCTTTTTGAATAGTTTGTTCATTATCAGAAATTTCATCTTGACTTGAATCGGTTTCAAATGGCACATCTCCTAGAACTAATTTGTCATTCATTGGTTCAAAGTGATCATCTATATCTATTATACACGATTGTGTTTCATCCAATTGTTTTATGAAAATGTTTTCATTTGTTGTATTAAAATGATTATCATCAAAAGCAATACTACAATTATTAGCAGATTGAGAAATACTATTTAAACATGGTATACATTCATCTTTTTTCACAACTTCAAAGTCTGATAAAATATAAATGTCTTCTTGTTTCTGTTCATTGAATGATGGTATTGTTGAAGGTTCTATTGAGTCTTCTTCAATAGTTTTTAAATTATGTTCATGAACCGCCAATGATGAACTAACATTTTGAGCATTCACTATGTTTGAATGTACATTTTCTTCTTTGACAAAATCATTGGGTATTTCTAAGTCATCATTAATAATTTCATCCATTTTATGAGTTTCTAATTTCTCAAGGTCTAATGAATCTTGATTTAGCATTTGAGTGATTGTGGAATCATTTTCTTCTTTCGAAACACTTTCAAATGAATTTTCTAAAACAAAATCAAACTGAAGAGTTTCTTGTTGGTTTGAAACTAGATTAGAAGGTAATTCAGTTATTCCTGGTATTTCTATGGTTTTCTTAATTGGTTGTCCACCACGAATACCTTTAGCTTTTGGTTCCTCAGTTTTCTTAATTATTTTTGAAGGACTTTTTGTGACCACTTTGGTGGATCTAGGAGTCATGGGAGATTTTAAAGATGTTTTTGAAGCCAAACTTTCAGTGGAAACTGAACTGAGTCTAGAAGATGAAAGAGACTTGCTTTTAGATAGTCCAGGACTTAATATCAATTTTGTTGGTACCATTTTTTTTACTGTTGGAGACAAAGGTGGTTTGACTAATGATAATGAAGCAGTTCTAGTTTTCACTGTTGGTGATGGAGTTTTAATTTTTGCGGTTGTTGACAACGATGTTTTTACTATTGGCGATGATGGAGTTTTAACAATTGATGACATTGGAGTTTTCACTATAGGTGATGATGGAACTTTTACAGCTGATAATGGCTTAGTTTTTGCTACTGGTGATTTTGGAACCAAATTCTTAGTAACTGATGATGATGACAATGGAGTAACATTAGATTTTAAAGTTGAAGTTTTTGACACAGGCGAATTAGTTGAGTTTATTGTTGAAGAGGACTTTACGGATAATAGTGATAGAGAACTAGATTCTTTTTTAACAATATCTTTTGAAGATGCTGGATTCACTTTAGAAGTATCACTGGTTTTGTTAGTTGACTTAAGTGTCTTTACAGTACTAGACGATTCTTTGGTTAATAATTTTAAAGGAGATGTAGGAGTCTTCAAAGAATTTGATTTTAAGCTAGAAGCAGTGGATAAAGATTTTGATATCACTGATGGTTTGTTTGTCGGTGCAGTTGGACTCTTAGCACCCGAAGAACCCTTCACAGATATAATAGTTGCTTTTTTAATTGAAGTGGTAGGTTTTGCTACATTTGCTTGTTCTTTTGATTTTAATGATGCAGAGTTCTCTTTATTTTCTGTAGATGCTACAGACTTAGATGCAATAGTTGAAGGATTAGTGACACCTGTTGGTGACTTTGGAACAGTAGAATTTGATAATGAAGTTTTAGATACAACTGGAGGTAATTTAGCAACTGGAGAAGACACAGCAGATGATTTTGATTTAACTGGGAGAGGAGATGTAGTTGAAGACTTGACTCCAGTGGTTACTTGAGGAGATTTAGTCGTTGATGAAGTAACAGATGCTTGAGATGATTTAATAATTGATGGCGATTTAACCATTCCTGTTGAAACTGAAGTTGATTTAGTAATTGATGGTGATCTAACCATTCCAGTTGATTTAGTAATTGATGGTGATCTAACCATTCCAGTTGAAACTGAAGTTGATTTAGAAACTAATGCAGGCTTAGTTACCAAAGGAGATTTAGTCAACATTTGAGATTTTAATGACGATTTTGTTGGAGTTTTAGGTGATTGCAATCCTTTAGATTCTGTTACTTTAATATTAAGTGGAGGTGGTTTAGTCACTGATTTTTTCATTCCTTTGGCAGTAGAAGCTAAAGTTTTTTCAGCTTCTAACTTAACATCAATAACAGGTTTAACAACATTTTTAATAGTTGAACTTTTCAAAGTAGCAGATGATTTTTTCACAGAAGACCCAGTATTGATCTTTTCGGATGCTTTACTAGCTAACGGTGCTTTAGAAGATCCAGGTATTAACAGAGGAGAACCAGGTGATTTAGGAGATCCTGGTGATAAAGTCTTTGATCCTGATCCAGTTTTTGAGATAGTAAGAGGTCCAGATTTTTTCACAGCAGTAGGGAAAGTCATAATGTTCTACAACAAAAATATTTGATAAAATTATTTTTTTAGATTTAATTTTACTGAGTAGTTAAAAT